TCCTCCTATTCTTTCCTTTTCAACATGAGAGGTGAATGTGTTTTTAACATACAGATATGAAAATAAGCTTTGCTACGTTTTCCCAAACTGCTATCTTTCATGCCCTGTACATTCATGCGTGTAGGTTTTGGATCTGTCAGTGTGTGACAGTGGGTAGCTGCAGGTATCCACACTCTTGCACAGTTTCACAGGCATGACCGCATATGCAGTGAAATAGTGTATGCGGCTGAGCTGAGCAAGTGGTGTGCAGTGCACGATCAGTCAGATCGAGGATGACTTGGGGAGGCTCTGCATGTTGGTCTGACTCTCAGGACTAATGTTCCCCCCCCCCCCCATAGCTGTCATCACTGATGTGTCCTTGAGTAAACTGCAAAGGCTCTAAGAGTATTTCATTGACACACACTGCTTCACCCTGTATGCAGTTAATGGATCGTTTTAGAATGTGCTTGTTGGTGGAGTGAGGGAGTCCTGAGTGTGGATCACACTAAACATTTCAAACACAAGATGGCAGCACAGCGAGGCGGATTCATTTCTGTTTTTGTTTTTTTTGATATTATGATAGTATTTTAGCAACAGTAAAAAAAAGAATTTGTGATGGTGTTAAAACTGAGCTTAGTTTCTCTAAATAAACAAAGGTGGATTCTCAAAACGGGACATTTTGATTTGTGTTATGAAACAAAAATCATCAAAGACTATGAAGATTAAGGAATATAAAAACTATTCTCATAATTTAGGTGAGATAAAAAAAAACTATAATAAATTCTGCTAATGTTATTTTGAGTAAATCCAACATTCCCAAGGCTGCTGTAAATACTCAAGAGCAGCAGATGTGTATCTGCAGCTGAAAACAGACAAACAAGATACCAACAAATACTCTATTTATCCCTGTTTATCTGATTTGCTGAAAAGTTCATTTACTTTTAAAGATCTTTATTGAGTGGCAATCACATTCTGAACTGAGTGCAAAAATGAACTTTTCAGCAAATCAGATAAACAGGGATAAATAGAGTATTTGTNAAAGAGGTGCAGGTGGAAGGCTAAGGATTTTCAATGAGGCACAGGAAGCAGCAGTTACAAACTGGTTTTGGCAAACAATGCCATCACACTTAGAGAGATCTGAGGCATAGTAACTATGTGCTGAGATGCATGTTGAATAAAATGTGATTTCTTTCAACAACTCATTTGTATTTCTTCATTTACTGTATTTCTGTAAACTCAAGCAATCTTTCTCTGCAGAAACCTCTACGTACAGATCACAGCCCATAAAGATGAAAGTGCTTTAGATGATGCTCAGCAGTGTGTAGTTGGGTGGTCAAACCATCCAGTATTATGAATGAAGTGTTATATTTGGTGCTAAAGTTTGCATTTGGTAAGTGTTTATGTAGTTTTCAGTGCTGTTCTTCACTTAGCAGGAGAAATGAGGTGTTTTGCACTTTGGGAGTGTTCTGAGAAACTGAGCAATTAAAAAAAAAAACGTGTGTTAGCAATCGAGAAAAACTGTAAGTATACAAATATTGATCGCAATGCAGCCTCAAGCAAGCACTGCTCAATTAATCATATTTTAAATCGCAATCACGATTCTGGCTTGCAACGATTACGAAAACAACGTAAAACGATTATTTTTTATTATTTGTTTTTCAGTTGAGTTATACTTAAAGTTCAGTTTAATCAACTGTTAAAAACATACTGTAAAAAAAAAAAAAACTCCAATAAATTGATGTTTTCAAAGTAAATGGATAATCGTTTTTGATAGAGGGAGGCTGTGGCTCAGTTTGATGGAGAGCTTGATTTTAAAGTTGGTGAAGAGTGGCCTTCAGAGTGGCCTTCAGAGTGGCCTTCAGAGTGGCCTAACAGCACCTCCCTTTGAACAAACTCAACCTGAGCATCTTTTACATTTGAGAGTGGGCCGACAGCAGGTAAAGCAAACATACAACATCCTGCTCTATGGCAAACAGAAAACTAATTGCATCGTATTATAGGGATTAGACCAAATGTAATGATACGTATTCAATGAGTGTACTTTAAGGAGGATCCCTACCTGAAGCCCAGCAGCACAAAAGATTAATTTGACGACCTGTTTCACTGACAAGCCTGAATCAGCCTCGTTCCTGGGTGTTACCGACACGTCATCCAACAGACCTGTTTTAGCCTCACTGCCAAACACGCAGGTCTTAATGAGAGGGAAGCAAATCCCGCTACCTGAGAGAAAATACAAAGTGAATAATAAAGTGGACGAGGAAGTTACTACAACAAGAAGTGTTTGTTTTTTAATTGGCATACATCGATTGGTGTTAGGATCTCACAAGCACAAACCTGTTTCTAAGTAATTGGTGCGCTTGAAGTAGCTAATGAGGAAGTAGCCAGGGATGATGATGGTGGAGTATCCTAGCACGTTGACGAGGAAGCGGAAGAGCCACACATCGTGCCAGCCTTCCAGTAGTGATGCCTCCTCTGCAGCCACAGGGGAAGGGAGGAGAAGCAACACAAGTGCAGGCCAAACCCTGAGAAAACACAAGTATGTTTATTAGACAACATTTTGGAGAACAGACAGAAGGTGAACGCTGTAGCAACTCAGATTGTTTTCTCTCTGTAATATATAAAAAACATAATCAATACATTAACATAATAAATCACACAATGTTCATCATAACAATGCTGATGATAGATATTTTGATATCTTAAGCTTCTCTTTATTCATAAAAAAGCTTAAACTGACAATACCAATGTTGTAAAGCTAATGTGTTAGCATAGCGTCTGAATTTCACAATACTTCTTTACTCATCAAATTGAATCCTTTGGAACTAATGTATTGTGAAATTGAAATGTATTTCACAATCAATAACAAACAAAATGGCAAAAATATATATATATATCAAAGTGTTTGTCCATAGGTTTGGCAAAGCTTCAAAAACTCAAGATCCTACATTTCCCATAATGCCACTTAATTGATAACATGTTTCATGAACCCTTCCTGTGAGAAAAACGCCTTCTAACTGTCTCTAGTTTATACTGCAAGCTTGCTATTAAAAAATTTCCAAGTTTTCAAGCTGTAGCCGTTTGGCCAACAATGGATGTATTCAAGATAACGTTCAAACGTGGCGCCTCATTGAGTCCTATAAAAGTTTACTGGATGCAAATCTATTCAAATATACCGTCTGGAAACAGCCTGTTCTGCCATTTTTGCACGACAAGAGCACCCACAAGCAGATTAAGTAACACTGATAACTCAACCAAGGACACTTGTAATGAAGCCCTATCTTCTTTTCAAAAAGGTGTGCTCCTTGCTGTCGTGGCACTGAGTGTGTATATCCCATTCAAAGTGAGGCAGGGCCTCCTCCCAAGGGGGAGCCCGACTCACACAGAGTGTCTTTGTGCGGGCCAGCAGTCCACTGCAGAGAGACCTGGGCTGTGAACAAGCAACTTATTACATGAAGGAATGCAGTGCACTGGCTGGGCGTCAAACCCACAGAGAGAGAGCTGCCAGAAACATACCTGGGAGAGAAAGAGTGTTTTGTACCACATACATGACAGCAGATCGCAGAATCCCTCCTGACAACTATGTCATTATTACTACCTGGCTGCTGGAGGGTGAGCTATGGACATGTATCCATGGTAATCAAACACATCAGTCCAGAGGGAAAAACCCAGTGGTGTTTCAATCAATTATGTGAATTGTAATCATACGGTATCACATGCAGCACTTTAATGGGTGGTTAACTCCTGTCCAAACAAAGTAAATAATAACCAGTGGTGTAAAGTAACTAGGTAGATTTACCCAAGTACTGTACTTAACTTCCATTTTGAGGAACTTGTACTTATCATGAGTATTTATTTTACCCCCACTACATTTCGGAGGTAAATCGTGTACTTTTACTCGAATACATTTACTTTATACCCTGAATTACTTCTCGTATTTCAATTAATGATGTGAAATATAATCAACACTTAAATCAGACTTTAGTTACACCTGGAGTAAAATTCACAAGCTACCTTCCCGCATATAAAGCATGATATAAAGTCATTAAAACTAGCTGCACCTTTACCAGCTGTGATAAACACATGTATGCACCAATAATCATAACAAAACACGTCATAAATAATTCTGAAATGGGCCTTAGTACTTTTACTTTTGGTATTTTAAGTATATTTTGATGCCAGTAGGCAACGTTACTTGAGCAACATTTTTGATTGCAGGACTTTTACTTGTTACTGAGTATTCCTACACTCTGGTACATGAACTTTAACTCAGGTTTGATATCTGTGTAATTATTCCATCTCTTTTAATAGCGTATAATAAAAACATTTTTCACTGGAAAACAAATAAACAGTCAGCAGAGCCTACATAAATAACACATTTTTATCACGCCTTTTTCTACAGTAAGCTAACATTTAGTCTTGGTGTCTACCATTACCTCCATGAAAAAGATGGCATTTTCTCCACTCTCGGTGGCCCGACACCTGGAGCAGCTCACCCGCCGACAGACTCAAGCTTCCCCGCTGGAACAGAGCATGAAGGTCCGGCAGGTAACGATATTTTAGTAATAATTATTAGGGGATTGTCTTGTTCTGGACTAGCTGCCTTTTAGCTCTAATGTCTTCAACTTATCCCCAATGGCCGATGTGTTCACTTTGAGCAGGAAAGCCCCCCTCCTCTTTTCTCAACACCAGGAGGATGCCGGAGCACAGCGCACCCCCGGCGGCAGCGCCCCTATCGGTGAGGAGGAAGAACTGCAAGGAAAACCCGCTTTACTTGTAGAGCACATTTCAGTACACAAATGCAATTCAATTCAAGATTAAAAAGCTGTATTGTTATATGCACAGTAGCTACAGCAGGGGTGTCCGAACTTTTTTCTCCGAGGGCCACAAATATTCGAAGAGCCAACAACAGTTGTCAAACAACAGGAGCCCTAGATTGATTATAATAAGAGGAACTAGGAAGTGTATATTTCAAGTTTGTTATGAATAAGTTATTGGGCTTTTTTCTTATCGACTTTGATTTGTTAGAACATTATTTTCGAATGTAGTTGACTGAATTTATTGTAAAGTGGGCTTATTAACACATGAACACTATACTGTGTAATATATGTTTACAGATATATGTAATAAGTACAATACAAGAAAATCTCAAGTTTCATTTGTGGGCCGTATTCCATTATACTTTTTGAATTTGCTGAGGGCCGATTCAAAATGTCCCGCGGGCCGCATTTGGCACCTGGGCTGTAGTTTGGACACCCCTTCAAGGTTCAAGGTTTTTATTTTGTCATACGAACATAGCTACAGTGTAGTTATGACGATGAACATCTTAGGTCACAGGCTCCCCCAACAGTGCAACACAATAAAACAGGTAAACATAAAAATACAGTGCAAGTAAATAGTAAATACAAAAAGAAAAATAGTTTAAAAAAGTGAAATAGTGCAATAAGAGTCTATATGCAAGTTATTGGAATATGATATATTAGGTAAATAGATAAATAATGTCTAAATAGCAGCCAGATGATGGGCTACAGTGTAGTTATGGCAATTCAAATCTTAAGACCAAAAATCCTCCAAAAATGCTCCATAAATATATAATCATATAAGTCATTAAACGGATAAAAAATAAAAATAAAAATAGCTAGAAGAAACAGAGTAAAAATAAAATAGTGTACGATTATGTTGCAAGACCAATGTGCAAGTAATGCAGGATTCTACACACATGTAAAACAGAATAATATAAACAAGAACAGAATGTCAAATTAAATACTGAAGTGCTACATATGATGCATTATTATAACATAAAAGGAAATTGAGTGTACTCTTACCACTTTGTTGCATACAAATGAGTGTCAGTGTCATGTTGTGAGCAGACATATTCTCTTATAGTGTCCCTGCTCAACTGGTTCATTCTTTGACATATATTTGTGTGAAACAAAAGGTAATAATACCTTACTTTGGGAAAATGATCCTTCCCTGGCATGTCTTCCTATTATTAATTTATGGGCCAAATATCTTGGGACAATTACTGATACGTTGACCTTTGAAATTCAATAGATGGGTAACTGTCCTTGAAAAACAGGAACAGGTTACTATTAGAATGTGAAGTAAAATTGAAGGGGAAAATGATGACCTCTCTCATGTGTACAAGGTCAACCACATGTAAATTCAGCTACTCCATGTTTTCCATACCCTATTGTTGTTATTTTAATGTATACTCACGCTTCTTAATATCTTGTTATCCTTGTGTGAACTCTTACCTGTCCTTTCCTTGGTGTGATCACTCTATAACTGTTGGCTGAGCAACAAATTGCACCTCAGAAATAAAAATAAAAAATCCCTATAAAGATAAGATGGATACAAGATTGATAATGACATGCTTTAGGTTCAGTCAACGGTAGAGTTTTTATCCTGGGGCTGCTTCCTGCCTGTTCTCCTCAGAGGGTGAAAGTCCCAAACTTTAAGCATGATAAACAAGGAAATAGAGTAGAGAAAAGGGAGTAACACAAAGGGTCCAAACTCCAGGAACATTAGTGGCATAAAGAAAAAGGAGACCAAGGAATTTTGTTTTTTTGGCCTGAAGCACACTTCAAGACCTCTCCATGCACCTTGAATCTGTTTGAGGTTGTGCCAGAAACTCCCTAACAACACATGAAGTACTCAAAGTGTTCCACATCGACTAGCTTCAACATTAAAATGCACATGCAGTGGCAAAGGGGTTGGGAAAGACTGACTTTATTCACACTTATGATACTTTGCTGGCAATATAATGTAATGAAAGCACATGTGGAGCTCGTACTGATGAACGGCTCTGTTGCCAGCAAGCATTAAAACAAAATGACACATCTAAAGAACATGCATGATTAATAGATTACACCTGTTCATGTGTCTTCTATGACGTGTCAAAAGTCTTTGCAGGACCTTTACTTGTAATGAATGAAATGTACATTGTACAGTGTTTCTCTTTCTTCCTCTTCTGATCTGATTGACTTACCACAACCTTTTGACAGAGATAAACAGAAGTGTAGTGAATGTGCACTTCTCATTATGGTACTTCATTCATGTTTACATTCAGTTGATCAATTTGCTCTATATTTTTTTAACTTGCATGTCAATTTGAGTTTTTCTTTTAGTTGCGATTTTATTTTTTTAACATACGTTTAATGAGCATTGTTCGAGAGAGCCTAAGATCCAAGATATGTAATATAGACGGTCGCTTCACTGTTGTTCTTGTGCATATGATATTAAAGAACTCGATCTTGACAATTTAGCCTGATTATGTTATTTCCAACATGATTCAAAGCAGCATTTACCTGCATACAAGTCTTTTAAAATGATTAAATGTTTTCTATTTTCAACATGAAACACAACTAATGCCACCAGTTTTTGACACCAACTAAGTTTGCAGTCTCACTGATGCGTCAATCAAACAGCCCAGTTAGAAGAGGAATATATGGAATAGAGTATATATCATTGGATTATCTCACTTTTTCACAACAGCTTTTTGTTATTAACATAGCCCCTAGCAACACCAGCATGTCCTACAGTACACTGTGCATATAACACAAATAGCTTCAAGCCATAGGCTCAATAGGGAAGTAGGTATAGTTTCATAACCTTTTGTTCTAGCCGTTCACCACAGATGTTTGTCTGCTTGGAAGTAGTCACCATAACTTTTAATCTGTCACAGTCAAACCCTCAGAGCACCATTCACCTGACCATGATCACCACAGATTACGGATCATTATTTCCCTGTGCATGACAGTTTGTTAGCTTATTATCCAGCATGCTTTGTTGTTGTTATGTGTTTATAATAAAGGTTACAGCTGAGTGGAATTTTCAGACGTTCCACAGCCATTGTATTATTGGAGCCATTGCTTACAGGCAAACAAAAGGGTACACCTGAAAGTAGCTTACAGGAAGCACAGAACTGTTTATATGGAAGAGTCTTGTCGTTATTAACTGTATTGATGTATGATCAGATTTTTTTGCTGCACACAAATCACAGTAGTGCTTCACGGTATAGCCTATAAAAGGGCTCATTTAATTACTGTCTCCTGTTTGCACGCCCAAAATATCTTTGATTAACCCTTTTGATAAAGCTGGAGCTATCTGTGAGGAGCAGATGGTGGATAATGTCTCTTTTTAAAATGTACCTAAGATTCCAGTAACCCAGAAAAGCATACAACATGCATGAGTTTTCTTACCATTTTATTACAAAATCAACGGCTTATATTAACTAGACAGGGCAGTGTAATTACAAAACAAAGTACAGGAACAGTTTACTGCAGATTAAGGATAGCATGAGATAAATAGAGAAAACCGCTTGACTAGATTACATGAAGTAGCAAAGCTGAAAAATCACAAAGGAGGAAGCTGCATTTTGTGTTATATATTATATTTTTATACGGGCTATCGGATTCCTAAGAAAAAGCAGTGATTAGATGTCCTTGGGATAGTTAGTTTGACATTTATTTTCTGATTACATTCCTCAAAAAGTCTTTCTGTGATCGTCTGTAAGTTATTGGTGTGGCGAAAAGAAATGTTAAAAAAAATTATGTGGCTACAATGATGGCTGTGAAATAAAATGCAATCAAAGCACGGATAGAGTTTGAGAAACTGTGAAAAAAAGCAATTTGAATGTCCAATATTTAAACTACAAATCGGTTGATGTGATTAAGAGGTAGTATCTTTCATGTTCATTTAAAATGTGGATTTGGGATTCGCATTGAGGTTATTGCAATACATCTGAATCACTCTTCGTTAGGGGGAAGTCCTATTTTGTGTTGCACTCGTTTGTCTAGATAATGGATAAATACACATCAAATCAGAATGTTCTAGAAATAGAGGCACTATTTAACAAAAAAAAGTTAGCTAAAAATTCTGTTTTTTTTTCCTTTTGTTTTCTTTTTAAAATCAAATATCTCCACTCACATGAAGCTCCAGGCAATTTAATAAATGTTGTTAAGCCTAAGATTTTGCTCAAAACTTCACGCTGACCACCGACCTCCCGGAGATCTGGATGTCATCAAAAGGAAAAAGAGCCAGAATCTGAAAGACAAGGACACAAAAGATGTTCAAATGTGTATTCTGATCCATGTCGGTAGTCTCCGCTGATGTACCTGTAACTTTTAAATCACAATAACTCACGTCATCGTTGCCGTCGGCCAAATCCAGCGCTGTTTCGTCCTCCATGTTTCGCAACATTGTGTCGGCGCCGGACTGGCAGAGCAGGTTGGCGATGGCGGCGTCTTGTCTCCCGACGGCGAGATGCAGCGACGTGCAGCCGTTGAACATGGCAGCGTCCACGTCGGCTCCGCAGCTGAGCAGCAGCTTCACTGACGTGATGTCGTGCAGCTCCGTGGCGAGATGAAGAGCGGTTTTCCCGCTGGTTCCTTCCTGTGAGCGCCGTGGATGGAAAATAGCAATGAGGAATTCCACAGATACACAAATGGCACACTACCATGAAGTTGTTCAATTGAATTTGTATAATTGGTTTGTTTGACATATTTCTGTTTCCAAATATGTATTTTACATTTTGCATTCTTAAAAGCTGGAAAGAAAAGGCCACAGATAGTCACATTGTAAGGATAATAATGTACCGGATGTAAGCACTGTGATATGTTTGGCTGCTGATTTAAAGTGAGAGGAATGTCTGGGGTAGTTT